GACAAGGCAGAGATCCTTATGGCAGCTCTCATGTAGTCCGTGAAAACAAAGAAAGTGGCACAGTACGGAATGAGGCCAGGGCAATGAAGGGCAATCCCATTGCAGATGGCTCCCATCCCATGCTCCCTAACACCGAACCTAACATTGCGTTCTTCCGGGGTATTCTTCTGGAAGTCTCCAAAACTTTTTAGCAAAGTCATGTTCGAAGAAGCAAGGTCTGCACTTCCACCAATAAGACCAGGGAGAACCTTCGCAAGGGCATTTAGGTTTGCTTGAGATAAATTTCGGGTAGCATCAGCTGGGCTCTCTGGAGTGTAAGTCTGGAAAATTGCAAACAGTAGACCTCATAAGATGACTTTAATATCCAATCCTAACTAGCTACATTAATATACAAAATGGTTTGTCACAGAATCTGCAAAGTAGGCCTGGCCAATTCTGAGACTAAGTTAAGGTGCAGGGACCCAAAAGAAGCCAAGACATGATACCAATGCCATTCAGAATGCTTGCGCCAATGTTTTTGCGCTCATTGCCAAGTATCCCGCATGTAAAATAACTAAATAGGTTTTTAAAGATAAAAAGAGCAATTAAAGGTAGAGCTCTACTCACCGGAAGTGCTTTTTCCCAACCAGCTGGTAGCTCACCCGTAATGATGGACTTCAGCTCTGCAGCTTCCTCCTTGTACTTCTTCTCATATTCAGCAAACTTGGCATTCCATTCAGCTTCAAGAGCAGAACCCTCAGCGGCATGGCGACTCCAATGACTAAGATAGAAACAAACAAGATGATCTGTAATTATTGCTAGTAAACTGATTAAAACAATAGAAATTTAATGGGGTGGTCCTTACCTTTTAACATCCTCTGGCACATGGAAAGGCTCATATGGCCATCCAAGGTTCTTCCGGGTAGCATCCACTTCCTTGGCACCCAATGCAGCACCATGAACACTGTATGAGTTTGCTTTGTTTGGAGATCCAAAACCAATGGTTGTTGTCACCTGCAAAGATGCAACAGTCCAATATGGCATTGACTAATATCAAATCAAAATGAACTCTGACAAAAAGACATGTTGTGGAAATGTCATATCAAATTCCCTTTGAACTCCAAAAATAGGCATTTATACCAAAAAATCATGTAGCTTGCCCTCTTACTAAGATTTAACGACAAAGCTGTTTGAGCTATTATACCATTACCACAACTATTAGACCTTTTCCAATAAAGAAGTGACAAATATAATAGTTCATAGATAATGGTTTTTTTTCTTCAAATCACATCCAAGTGTACTATATTCAACATTCAACAATTTGAAAAGAATGCAGCATATATCTGACCTTTATCAAAGTGGGTCTATCTGTGACAGCCTTTGCTTCCTTGATGGCAGCTCGAATCTCATCATACCCGGTGTTTCCATTCTTCACCCAGATAACGTGCCACCCAAGACCCTCAAAACGGGTATCAACACTCTCAGTGAATGCAATCTCAGTGTCTCCATCAATGGAAATGTGGTTATCATCATAGAAGGCTATCAGCTTCCCAAGTCCCCAATGCCCCGCAAGAGAAGCAACTTCGTTTGAAATACCCTCCATTTGACAACCATCACCCAATATAACATATCTGCAGTGAAACAACACCTATACTGCTAAGCAAAAATCAAAGAGTGGAAGGGATAAAAACGAGTTCAAATGTCAAGGTAGTTATTTTACGTGTAGTGGTCAACGATCTCACTGTCTGGCTTGTTGTAACGTGCAGCCAAGTGCTTCTCAGCAAGGGCCAAACCAACAGCATTTGCAATGCCTTGCCCCAAAGGACCTGCATAAAACGATGAAAATTTTAAGAATACCATCTAAAGCTAATGAATTTTTTTTCCCTTCTAAAAAGAGTAATCAATTAACCTACAAACTCATAAGTACTTCAATAAGTACCAGAAAATCGAAGAGAGAATCTAACCAGTTGTGACTTCAACACCAGGTGTCTCAAAGTTCTCAGGATGTCCAGGGGTCTTGCTTCCCCATTGACGGAAGCCTTTCAAGTCTTCTTCCTACTCATTGATCCAAATTCAAATCATACGGTCATACCCAATGTTCAGTCAATTATATGAGAACGAATGAATCATTAGCAAAGTTAACAATAGTGATAGATTAATTTATAAGTGGATGACTGGGTTAATGAAACAAAAGGCACCCATATCCCAAAAGTACAAACAGAAGTAAATGCCACTTCAAAAATTCGTTAAGAACAAACCAATGAGCAAGTGTCTTTACACCTGTTTTCATAAAAACAGAAAAGCAATGTAATCATAAAACCTCACCAGACAAACATGCATATGTTCAAACACATGAATTTCCCAAACAAACATGCCGAATCAACTCTAGTGTGTGTTGAGAGAGAACAAAAAGAAAAGGATATCAGAAAATTAAGCTCAAAGCTAAAACATTTTTCCACCAATGTCCTAATTCTCCACCAAAACACCAAAATACAATCCGCATAACGCAAACTCATTTTCAACTCAAACATACAATAGACATACAACCCAGAAAAAAACCCACCTTGACACTGTCATATCCAGCAAGGTGAAGCAAAGCGTACTGCAACATACACCCGTGTCCAGCAGACAACACGAACCGGTCACGGTTGAACCAGTACGGGTTCTTGGGGTTGTACCTCATGATCTCATCGTACAAAATATGACCCATTGGAGCACAGCCCATGGGCAAACCGGGGTGACCAGAATTGGCCTTCTCTACAGCATCAATGGCCAAGAATCGGATCGTGTTGACCGACTTCTCGACCAAAGAGGTCTCTGTGGTGGTGTCCAGAGTCTCGACGGCGGCGGCCCTGACCGGCCTGTTCGCGCCTAGACGGCGGCGCTGGAACCGAGAGAGCTTGGATGATGTCGAAGACGACGATGATGGCGACGATGAAGTGGATTTGAGACCGGAGAAAGTTGGTAGAGTGAGGGCTGCAGAAAGAGAGACCCGGTCTGAGGTTGAGCTCGAGCCATGGTGAGAAATGGCGCGAGCCAAAAGGGCTTGAGACAGAGTCACAGATGTAGACGAAGTCATGGCTTTTGCTCTGTGGTTCTGGCTATGGCTCAGAGAGATTGACAGAGAGATAGACAGAGAGTGAAAGAGAGAGACTTTGTGAGAGCCTGTGAGACCGTTTGAGGCTCTTTGGTTTTATCGGATAGGAGAGCTGGGCTTTGAGCTTCTCGTCTGCACAAGAGGACAGGTAGAGAGATGAGCTGACCGTTAGATTCAGCACAGATCCAATCTCGGCCGTTGACTGAGGGTAGGAATTAGTGAATGCTCTACCTTCCATTTTTTCCACTATCTAAACAAAAATTGTCTCAATTTTTGTTTTTGTTTTTTTTGTTTTTTTTCATAACTTTTGGTGGAATGTCAAAAACCAGTTTTTTGGGGTGAAATTATTTGTATTTTCTGACTTTTGCTTTGTGTATTTATTTATTTATTTGTTGATGATTGCTCCCACATCGGTACATTCATGTACCACCTTGGTTTGTTCGATGGCTACCTCTTTCATAACACTTTTTATGTTTCACGGGATGATGAATCGTATTTTTCATGAACCCTTGCACAATAGAAATGTAAAAGTTTTTATCTTTTCAGTTTTGGAAGCTTTCTCAAGTTTCAATTCTCCCTCTTTTGTTTGGAAAAAAAAATGGTATGGAAATCAAGGGTTGTTATATATAACCACTCCCAAATTTGAAACTCCTACCTTATTTCCTAATATAAGAAATCTTTCTTAAAAAGAAAAAGAAAATCCTCAGTAGCCAATCATTGCCTTTGTACCAAATTTGGTGGGTTGGTGGAAAGGAAAGAAAGATGAAAGAGTTTGGTGGAGGGATGGTCTATGAGATCTATGTCAATATGTTATTTTTTTTTTATTTCCTTTGTGTTGAAGATTTGTTCAATAAAAACGGTAAAAGTTGGTCAGGGAAGATATATTAACCCCTGACATAAAAAAAAGAAAAAAAAAAGAAGATATATTAACTTCTAGTCGGCCACGCAAAGTTCAAAATATGCTGCAATTTCAGCAGCAGATGTTTGACAAATGCAACTTTTATTTATATTATCTTATCTTTTTTATTTTTGCTGACCTATTATTATTATTATTATTATTATTA